AGATCAATTTACCAGTTGTGAGCTTATTGATTCCTTCCATGGCTGCCACTGCCGAAAATGCCCAACAACAACCTACGTTTTGATTCAGCACAAACAAAACGAAGGTTAGAAAAGTATCCCTCTGTAAGATCTCATTCTTATAAACACAAGGATAGGCACTCACCACATTGTCCTTGGTCCTTGGCAGGGGTTACAGCTCCTTCCTTTCTCCAGTCCATGGTAGAAGGCACTGCAGAAACGTTTTCATATCTGAATGGACCTGCTTGTGGAGAGCACATATGACCCTTGAACCTATTGCGTGAAGCTTTGAACTCTTCATTTGTAAGATCTGCAAATTGATTGACACCAAGTTTGTAAGATTTTCCGGTTTGACTGTTAAAAGCATCTACGCGTGCAACATTTTCCTTGAATATGCTGTAACGGGTCGCCCTCTCGTTGTCATCCTTGTATACACGCCCATACTGAGTCATCCATTGCTCATGCCTCTCATACATGGGTGCATCCAGGAGGGTTCGAGCTGTGGATTTAGAAGGCCACGCTCCCGAAATGAAGAGCAAGGCCAAACAAACAAATTGGAATTGTTTAGTGAATCTCATGGCAGCCTTTGGTATTAGTAGCCGGTATATTAGGGAAGCAATGAGTAAGCTGGTAGGCATACTATCTTCACGCACCCTTTGAGGTTCTTACAGGGACTCTGCTCCTGTCAATTCGTATGCTCCACAAGACAGGCCTTCCAACTATGCGTGCCCTTCAAAATGTTCTAATTTTGACCCCTATGATTAACTAATTTAACTGACATCGTGTTGTGTTTTTTAGCCAGCATGAATTCAGACAGTTCAAACTTTCCCTTCATGAGTATATTTTATAATGGCTGATGAATATTGTATTTAGTAAGCTAATAAATGGTTTTCGTGCAATGATTTTAGTCCCATCTTATGGCATCAGATGCGCTATAATTTTAGAAGCAGACAGAAATACTCTTGCCGTGCCGTTAGATTCACAAAGTGAATAGTTTGCATACGTTAAATAAACTTTCAGATTGTAACAAGAGTCGGCCTAGCTTTAAGTTACTGCATAGGAGAAAAAAACCAAGAAAATGGTAGTCTCTCTGTAATTATTAGTAAACGTGCTGGTCTGTCTTAGGACATGGATTTCGATGGGTGCTTGAGTTTATTCAAGAAGCCAACGTTTTTTTTTTTTTTTTTTTTTTCCAACGAGGAACAAAATCTACAGAGTTCGCATAGCCAATGACGAGGTTAAAATGTAGTTGCAAACTAATTTACTTGTTGATACAGAAAGGAAAAAGAGTTTGAGAGAGGAAAAATTCTGCAATTGGCAAAAATTCTGCTGGCAAAATTATTCTGTCAAAATCAATCTGTTGCTACCATGCATTGCCTTCTTGAAAGGTGGTTTTTGACTTCGATAGATCAACGGGGGCTGTATCTGTAAGATATGTGGTTAGATTCTTGAGCATGACACTAGCAAGGTAGAAGCTAAAGTTGAGACTGGCTTTTTCAGAACATGAAGTTGTCTGACAATTTTGTCCAAAATTTAAAGAAAACTGTTTATGAGCATGCTTCACCTTTGAGTTCCAAGCAGACTGATGTTTTGAAAAATAAAGAGAGAGAATAAATAATAAAAGGCAACAATGTCCTTTGGAGGCTTAGAATTAGGTGTATATGGATGAAGGGTATTTAGTTTATTGACTCGATAAGTATAAATAGGAGGTTAAAAAAAAAATAAAAAAAAATCTGATTAGAGAGAGAGAGAGAGAGAACCGAGGGGAAGAAGAAGAGGACCGTAGAGATTATGTGTTTAAGATAAGATTTATGCTTTAATGTGTGTAATTATGGTTTTTAACCTTGATTTCTTGGTTTGTTAAGGTTTAGGTTTTAAATTTGTATCATTAGGGATTAATTGAAGAATTGAATGTGGATGATGAATAAGTTGATTATAATATGATGGGTTAAGTGTTCTAGGTTATTTGATATGAATTTTTTGATTTGTTATGAGTTTTTAACACTACAAGATTTCTCAGTGTTACTGATGGATTGAATCTGTTGGTGTGAGATTCAGATTCTGTCGATAATTTTTTAACTAAATCACCGACGGAAAGTGTTCTTTGATATGTCTTTCATCGGTAATCCCACATTTCGTCGCTAATTCTATCAGTAAAAAAATAAATATTGCTGATGGTTTTGCAAACAGAAAATGGCATAAAAAAATCCCGCTTGAAATATGTAGATGGATTTATTCTGTTCCTGATAGTGGAATATCTAGTAAATATTTTTCAGCTTTCGGTAAAATATCAATGGACTCCATCCATTTGTGTAGGCGTTAGTGATTATGGCATTTCCAGTAAATATTTTTCAACTCTTTGTAAAATGCCGAAGGACTCCATTCGTTTGTGAAGACGTCAGTGATTGTGACATTTCCAGTAAATTTTTTTAACTCTCTGTAAAATATCGACAGACTATATCTGTTTGTAAAACCGTTGGTCGGGGTTTTTAAATTTGTTTTTTTTTAAAATTATTTATAATAAATAATATAAATTAATAGTAAAAAAAATCAATTACGCAAATAAATTTTTATTAAACATCAAAAATAAAAAAATAAAGTTAAATAATATTCATTACAAATTGAATGTGTTTCCAAAAAATATTGAATTAGCACAATAACAGAGTTGGAAGAGGAGACTGGTTGTTCTTGGGACCATACGGCTAAAAAGGGACCACATATGTATCACTACTTTATGATGTCATGTTTATGACCATTTAGCGAAGTTGTTTATAATTCGCTGAGAGTTGCTCATATTTCTTGGTGAGATGAGCTGTGTGAGCTATGTTTTATTCATAATTCGCTAATAGTTACCTGTATTTTTCTGTGAGATGAGCCGTGTGTTGCTGCAAGGCCATAAACTCTTTTGATAGATTACTTGATGCTAATTGGGAGCTCCCAACAATTGAGATGCTACGGGCCACCCCCAAGTTCTCGGTCGTAATGTTGGAGAGCCCGTACAATCTATTTTTATCGGGTCTACCAGACGATCCTACCTCCATCCATAAATCTAGATCGAAATCTGGATGGGTCGAATGATCATCCCCATATGTCTCCTTCAACCTCCTATTATAGGTCTCCTGAAAATGAAAAAAGAAATCATCATATTCAATTCAATAAAAATAATAACTTACAAAATAAAATGGTTGAACGAACATAGCACAAAGTGTTAAGTGCGGTTGTCAACGAATTGTTGCACTCTCTTTTAGCCGTCTTGACTCCACACGTGCATCTCTACAAACAGCTCCATTGGGCTTGACTCACATCCAACAGACATAGCATGTGATTGTGCATCAAAAATATCATTAAGTCTCTTATTTTATATATGTATTTATTTTGATTTTTTATAATAATTGATATGCTTTTTAGTAATGAAGTTTCTTTTAATGTTTCGATAGGTTTTTGGAGCTTAAATGAATTATTTTAGAAAATTTAATGTTAGAATTCAGAACAAAGAATTGAAGAGAAATTTTGTTAAAGATCGAAGTAAATCTTAGTTTAAATAAGTGCTCCAAATTTACCCCAAAAATCAATTCTATTCCAATCTTAGAAAAGATTATCATATGATCAATTTCAAGCCTAAACTTGTCTTATATTGTGTGAAAACTTCAACCCTCAAACACTCAAGGTTTCAATATCAATCTTAGCCTAAATAATAGGTACATTTATATCCTTATATGATGCTTAAATTTAGCCCCAAATCAGCCTTCAAATTAGCCTAAGCACAATCCATGATCTTACATGTTCACATAACAAATAACATTTGATTTATTTTAGGTAATCCAGTGATCCAAAAGAGCAAACACATGGATGGAAAGCTAAAGGGGACATTGTTACATTATTTTGGGTCAAAAGAAGAAAGAGATAGCCCACAAAGGAGGAAGAAAAGCGTGCACCAAAGTGGTTTCCAAGCTGGCCTGATTTGATTTTCCAAAATACCTTTCAGTGTTTTGCCCATAATGTTTGACTCAAATGTCCAAATAAACAATTCTTTAATGATATGAAAAAATAACAGAATTTCCTATAAAT